CTTGGATACCTGGCGTGGCTCAACGGAACCTCGCTCTAAGCCCATGGCTAGAGCACCTAAAGGCAGAAGGTGGGGGAGTACCCATGAGCCCTACATAGGGCCACGGTGTTCCGAAATGTTGTCCCAAAGTCCCAGACTGTGGAAAGGAAAAGGAATAAGCCTCTGGTGTGGTGACCAAGGACACAATCGCACAGTGAGGTAGTCCCAGATGCCAATGGACTTAGCTGTCGGGCTCGTGGGCCTTGATCCAGTGGCAGTGTTGGCGAACACGACTAAGGACAGAAAGGGACTTGGTGGGGACCGGAACGGAGATATTGGGGAAGGCTATTCCCCATGTCTACAGGCATCCTAAGGATGCCAAGGAGTGGATCTGGGATGACCACCCATGGACGGATGGCCCAGTTTTGGAGAGACGGGATTGCAATGCAGGTAGTGTTAGACCACCGATGTGACCAAGGTGAATGGGCGTGGCCTAGCGTAACGGGCTGATATGTCGGTGGTACCTTGGGGTGTCAGTCATGGGATCGGACATGTGGAGCACTTGGACCAAGTGCAAAGGTTGAGTGGCATGGATGCAATTCTCGGGGTTAGCAAGCCCCAAGTCCTGAATTGGACTTATGGAGGTTGTGAAAGAGACTCCTCCTTGTGGTTGGAGAGGTGGTTAAGTGACTAAAGTAGAATGGAAAAATTAATCACTTACAATTTGCAACCACTGCCACTGGGTCAAGGGGCATAGGCCCGCCCACCAAGTCCCACTCACCATGTAACCGTATCCTTGGTCACTACACCAGAGGACTACTCCTTTTCCTTTCCATAGTCCGAGACTTTGGGATAACATTTCGGAACACCGTGGCCCTATGCAAACCTCATAGGTATTCTCCCCACCTTCCGCTTTTGGGTGCTCTAGCCATGGGCTTAGAGTGAGGTTCCGTTGAGCCATGCTAGGTATCCAAGTAGGTAGTGTCACCCATGCTTGGACTGGGAACATCGAACATTCGATCTCCCAAGGGAACTAGAGTCGGCTCTTGAACACTTCACCAAGCTAGTCTGCTTGTCAATCTATATTCACTCTAGCCTTGGACTTCCCAATGGTTATCTCACCACCCAACACCCAACACCTGGGGTACAACCTTCTTGGGCAAAATTGGCTCCATTACACTCTCTCTATTATACTTTTGGAACCCCTTGCAGCCCCCCCCCCCCCCCGGCCCCGGGGGATGATTGCTTTGGGCTTTCACCCAACAGCCTGTATTAGGATTCGGATTCGGACTTAGTTTCGGTTTCGGCCTTGGTCTCGGTCTCGGTCTCGGGTCCATCTCAGACTCCATCTCGAGTCCATCTTAGACTCCATCTCAGATCCATTTTGAATTCCATCTTAAACTCCATCTAAAGTCCATCTCAAACTCCATCTCAGGTCCATCTCGGACTCCATCTCGAACTTCATCTCGGACTCCATCTCGGACTCCATCTTAGCACTTCCACATGTTGTTTGTTGGTTCTTTTGTGTCCCTTTCCTAGAGATTCACTTACTATTTTCTTTGTGTTTGTTCCTCGAGCACATCGTTGAGAGTTCCACCCCTACTCTTGACTTTTTGAATCGGAGGTTTTAGTTTAAATGTGTTGTGCTCATTTAACTTTTGCCTTAGCCACTACCACGTGGCACCCTTTCAGCTTGTCTTTAGGGCTTAGGGATTTTGTGTCTCACAATCTATTAATCACTCTCATTATATTGGTCCCATTTTAGTGTTATTGAAAAGTGTCTAGATATACTAGCTACAAAATGTAGACATTATCCCAAACACAATGGAAATGCAAATTCATAATCTAATATCACTCTATATTTAGTAAGTTTTTAAGTTTGTCCAAGAAACTAACTTGCTTTTATATAGGAGTGGGGTATAGCAAATGTAAAATGAAAATAGTAGGTATGCCAAACATGCACTGAGTGTGTCTTGGCTTTTCTCTACATTTGGATTGAGTCTAAGTTTAATCTTCATACCATGTTAATTAGTGGGTGCAATATATATAATTATGGAAAGAGATTAAAATATATCACAATTGTAGAGCATGTGGTTTTTACCCTTTATCCTATAGTGATTTACTATAGGATAACTATGAAGCAGAACCTAAACCCTTCATATGCCACGTGCCACATGCCAAATGTCCAAAGATAGAGGAGCACAACCCAAGTTTCAGGGATTTGGGCCACTAAGTGAAGGAGTGGAGCCAAACTCCTAAGCATAGAGTCAAGAAGCAAAAGCATTGGAGCATAGAGCAACTCTTGAATATACAGCTCAAAGACCAAAAGTACTAGAACATGAAATGACTCTTAAGTGTAGAACTCAAGGAGTGAAGTAATAGGAGTATGGAATGATTTGGAATAATCCTAGAGCATCCAACATCCCAATGCCAAAACCAACACGTAAAACAAAGCCAAATGGAATTTGGCACTATTTTAGCATACTGGTGGCCTAATGCAAAAATATAAGTACTCTACTAGTTAATATGATGTGAAAGTTGGGCTTAGACTCAAACTGGATACAAAATAGGGATAAGCACACAAGTGGGAGCTAAACTATGCTTCAGGTTGGTCAACTATACTCAACTTACTCACTATCCCTATTATACATTTGGAAACCTTTACAACCCTATAAAATACTTTAGCCATCACAACATAAGCAAAATATTCATGCCACTCAACCTCCTTAACACATAACTTAACATTTGAGATAAGAAAATTAAAAAAAAACATCCACACTCTCAAAGGAACATATAAATTTTTTAGCAATAATAGTAAAAAAGAGATTCTCAATAGCACTCATAACTATTGATATGCACTCAACTTGAAACTCTAGCCAAAGTAATATAACCTTTGAAACATATAAATACTTAACATCAAAACTAATCACCAAAAGCTTGATTCAATATAACAACATCAATAGGCTTAAATGATATACTCTTTGATTGATAATAACATGGTATAGTGGAAGAAGGGAATGTAATGAAAATAAAAAGAAGAACAAGTCTAAGTATAGTGATAACTAGAATTCTAGATCTTCTAAAAGAGAATAAAAGAATAAAAGGAAAAAACACAATCTTGAACTCTAAAGCAAAACATTATTAAAAAGCTTTACCCTCTAGGGACAAATTGTCATTTCTGCCAATGTGAGTGCTTAAGACATGATATTAGTTGGGTTTAAACCTCTTTTTATATACAAGAATGGATAGATTAAGTTAAGTCCCAAATAAATTATCCAATTTTATGCAAATACAAAATCTCAAATGATTATGCCTTGGAAGGATGTAGAATAGCTAATAATAATAATAATAATAAATATAAAGGTAATAATAATATAATATATGCTTTACTTTTATTTTTATATAACCTCTCATTTAGCGAAAACAAATCCAATGGCATGGCGGCGTATGTGACGACTTTGCTGGTATACACGGCAATGTGGAGGTATGTCGTGCATAGATTTCTTCCTCGTTTTTCCAGACCGAGTGAGCTCTTTGTTTAGATTTGGATGGTTCAATCCAGCTCTTGTCTACGATCACCTCGGAGAGATCTTTTCTACTCTCATTTTTGGCAGCATAGTTTTTTGTATGGAGAACACAAGAGACAACTGAGAGTTTTGGCAGTCTTGCGTGCGTCGCCCGTGCCTCATGAGAAATGGAATAAATGGAACATTCTGGTATATGCCCGGGCGTTCGTACCCAATTCCAGCCAGCGCTTGCATGTGCCATGTCCAGAAATCCCTCACGTACGACAACACCCACAACTTTTCACAGCACACATTCGAGCTGTCTCTCACACTGGTGGGCCTCCGCCTCCATTCTCCCAAGCAACCAAGCAAGCAATATACCATACACCATATACCATATACCAACTCTTTTGTTTTCTTCCTTGTCGTCCTCTCCAGATCCCCAGGAGCAACCAAGAGACTCGAGTGAGCCAAACAAGATCAACAATTCTCCCCTTTCGATCGTTTCAGCCCCAGGCGACGAAGAGGAGAAATCGAAATCCAGAGGCTTTCTTGGAAGTAGAATGCAAGATGATGGTATATTCATGGGAAATCTGTACAGAGTGTTTTCTAGGCTAGTCGTGGTGTGTCTGTACTAAGTGCTCTAGCAATACCATCGTTCCTTATTTCAAAACAAAGAATCCAAAATAGAACACCCCGAAACAAGGTCGGCCGAAGAAAACCCACAGCTCCCCCCATCCCCATCCATCACTCTGCTACCGCTATTCCAAATCCACCACCCACAAGAACCAACGAGAGATAGTGTAGAACCAAAAGAGAGGAAGAGGAAGAAGCCGCCCCTGTAGTGCTATAGTATGATACAAAAGATCCCAAAATTTCTCCAGCAGACCCATCCGTTATACGAAATCAGAGAGAGAGAGAGAGAGGAAGAAGAAGAAAAGAGGAAGTAAAAAGGGGAGAAAAAAGAATGCTGCTGCCGCTCATGCTCGATCCGCGCCAATCAAAGGAAGAAACTGGCGAGCGCTGCCAGGAATCCCGCGGCCAGCACTGGAATCGCCAATGCCGTGCCGGCGCCGGCCTCTGGAGCGGGGCTGGGCGCCTGCGCCATGGCAATGTCGGCCATAGAGGCCACGGCTACCACCGCCGCCACGATCAAGAACGCGGATCTGCTCGCCATTTCGAGAGCTGGAGGAGGAGACGAGAGAAATCTCGCAAGAATGCCGATCGATCGACTGCTCTCCCTCTTCTCTCTCTCTCTCTCTTGTCAAAAAGCTCCAAGAACAAAGAATGGAAGATAGGGCTGGCCGCTACTCTCTCTCTCTTTCCATTGGATGGGATGGTATTTATTGGCATGATGGCCATGATGCGCATGGCTGGGCATGAGCTGGAGGGCGGTCCCAGTTGAGCCTGGACGGCACTGGTGCCAGGTTCGAGCCCACGCGCTCCAGCTGGCACACAACGTGGCCACGCCGGCACATCCCCGGCTCGATTCCCACCCGGCACGACTCCCTTCTAGAATTTTACCAAACTACTTTGTTTGCGTTGAAATTTTGCCAAGCACACGCACATTTATATACAGTCGCGATGGACGTCGATAGCCCATCTTCTTCTAGCGCTAGCGATTTGCTTGCGTCGCTACCACGCATTTCTACCACCTTTTTCTTTTTTTGGAACTCCTGCGCAGTCAAAAAATTTCCCGAGTTTCTTCTTACTTGACTTGCCCCTATGCGTATTGTGTACTTTGTTCTTCTGTCAGAAACGATGGCCCGCTTTGAATCCCAAGCTCCACGGCGGAGTTTTTCTCGTCGATTTCTCCTTCCTCGTCGGCCTCTGGCATTTGGTACGCGTCTACTTGCAGCGCCAATGCGAAATCTGGTAGCTCCACGATCCTGTCTCTGGAAATGGCAGTAGAAAGAAGCAGAGAATTTAGAAACTTCGCGAGCGAGCAAGAGCAAGAATCTAAAACCCTGTGTGTTTGGAGCAGACCAAACACCACCTACACCAAAGCACGAGAACTTACCTGTTGTCTTCGAAGAAGTCGTGCTGTGTTGATGTTACTGCGTCCTTGGAAATTTTCTCCGAGAGGTGCTTCATTGGACCCCATGATGGCGATTTGCCAACCAGTGTCCTGCTGCACACACGGCGCCCCTTGGAGTTTAGTTTCATTCCCATTAGATCAAGGAAAGCGAAAAGCGGAATGAGAAAATGGAAAGACTAGCGAGGACTGGCAGAAGAATCAAGATAGAAAGGCCAAAGCACGCAGGCAAACGTAGGACCACAACCATGCACAAACCATCAAACAGTTTTGCTTGCTACGTACTTCGTTGTCATGGGCGCTGTTGCACAAAAGTCGCCACAAATTCTCTCGCTTTCCTTGAAGAAGTGTGCCGACGCCCGGAGGCAGGCTGCTGCGCCTTGGCTGTCACTGCTCTCGTTTAAGATCAGGCCGTGGAAGTAATAAGCTGCGACCTTTGATCCACAGAAGGCAAAAACTCTTGCTTAGATTGCTGGGATCAACTTTGCTTAGATTGCTTACCTTGGCCTCGGCCCGTTTCCATCTGATGAAAAGTAAATGCTTGTCACCCCATCCATTTCCCAGGTTTACAGCTTGCAAGTTCTCGTAGGCCTGCAAAAGACAATGAAGGAAAAAGTTTAGTTTTTGGAGTTGAGCGAGAGAGATCGAGCAAAGAAACAAGCCTGTTGCCAGTACTTGAGCTCCTCGCATGCTAATCGACGCTTCACTGCCATGGTTGCTTTCGGATTGTCGACTGCCAGGCCCAGTTGGATCTCAACAGTCTGAGCAAAAGCAGTCCAGAGAAAAATAAATATCACTGCACTGCTACGACAAAAAACTAAAGGAAAAAAGAGTGTTTTTTTTTGCTGTCTCTCACCTGTCCTAGCGCTTGGAGCTGCATTGCCTGCAGCGTGCCCTCCTTTAAGTCCACTGGCAGCTGATTCCTGCTAGTTTTTAAACAAGAAAAACAAGATCAGACAACGAACGAGCTCTGGAACACCAATTTAGCAGACTTTAAACTCACCTTACTTCACGAGGGGCTTGAGGGAGGACAGATTTAAGCGCGCATTCCAATATCTCTGCAGCTTTGAATAGAACATCCATGGCAGACTTCTTGGTTTCTGTTGGAGAAAGAGGTAAAGGTCGCGCTCTACAAAATAAAGGAACGCATTCAAGGCTCTTACCGTCCATGATCTGCCTGTGATGGCTGGCTTCCAAGTTTACAGGTTTAAACAAGAGAGCCCTGTTCGCTTCCAGCAGCGAGAGCGTCGCCAGGAGCTGTAGCACAGACAGCACTTCGTAATACGGGCTTTGCAGCGTCGTTTCCTGCAATCAACGACGTACAAAAGAGAGATTTCCCAAAAGTTAGACAAAAGACGAGGAGATGCAAACAAGCACAGTTCTTCCCGCACCTTTATCTCGTCCTCTTGGTTTGTCCAAGTGAACAGAACTTGGTCGGCCAACCGTGGCTCTAGAGCGAAAACCAAAGGGTAAGTTTGGACAATCCTAAGAAGACCGAAAGCTTTTCGCGTAACTTAAGCGTACCTTTCCGGATGAGCTTGAGAAGAACTGGTAAGTAGTCGTCAATGGCCTCCTTAAGCTGTGTTATGTTCGAGACTAACACGATCACAATGGACAAACAAACAGTCAGTTTGATGATCGAGAGAATCTGCAGAGAATGCACGGGTTACCAGTTAGCGAAGACCTCTTTTTCTTGAGTTTCTTTGTAGAGACGAGCTCTTGCGCCGCGGCGGCAAGTCTCGAGTGGACGCTCATCAATCTCTCCAGCAAATTTCTCGCAGAGGCCTGGAGGAGGTGATCCGAGTTTGCGAGTTCCAGTGACTTTGGGAGCCGCAAGCCGGGCGAGAAGACGCAGAGTTCCTCGGTCTGGACGGGAGCTTGCACCGAGTTGTGCTCGTCCTCGGTTTTGGTGAGCGCACAGCCCATGGTGTGTGCTTGGAACTTGGAAACCTTTTTGGGAAAGAAAATGTAAGACACTTGCGTAAGGGATAAGTTTGATCTCCACCCAGAGTCAATGATCCACAAAGTCGTACCCACAAAACGGGCTCTTTTGTTATTTTCCACAAAAGAGGCAATAGAGGAAGAAGAAGAAGAAGAAGAAAAAAACACTGTTTTCGCGGGACGCGAAGAAAAATAATGTAGCTCTAAGCTAGCCGCTGGTACAAAACTTCTGGAAAACAAAGCCCAAGCAAGAATTAGCACGAGAGAGAGAGAAAGAGAGAAGAAATCCAAGCACAAGAAGGCATTCATACCTCAATGCTCGATCGAAGAAAGAAAAGCGCCGCCAGACCTAGAGTGGAATCTTCGGGAAGCTCGCGCGCTCGCGAATCGTCCCCGCGGCAGCATCAAGCTGCCAGATTCAAGAGAATCGCCCAGAGAAGGCACCGATCGCGAGAGAAGCCAGCGAAGAACTAGTGCGAGAGAAGAGAGAGAGAAAAGAGAGAGACGAAGAGAAATGGTGGGGTGATGCGTGCCCATATAGGTAGAGTGGCTGGGAGATTGACGGGTGGCACTGTGCTTGTGAAGCGTTGACGCGCTTGTGGCCCGTCGCAACCCAAGGATCCCGCCCGTCACGTCACGTCACCCGTGAGCACCACACAAAAACCTCGTCTATAATCAGCGACAAAACCTTGAAAACTTTGATCAAATCACTCGAGCAATGGCAACACAGTCGCGGCCAATCCAAATGCCCGAGCCTCTAGTTTAATTTCTCTAAGATTGAGTTCGTTAATAAAAGATTAACTATTGCTCGTGTCTGAGTTAATTAAACTTCCAGAAGATCTAGATGTGCTGCGCTTGAGTGGTGCCACGTAACTCGCGAGAAAAATCTTGAGCAGTGTTTGATACGGTCCATGTGTCCACGAAGCGTTGATGCTAGCTTGCGCGCCTCGGAAACTTGCGCCAACTTATGGATCCCCGCCACCTTGCTTGGCTATTGAAAGAATGATCTTCGATTAGGTATCAAACACTTTGCTTTTGCTTCCGTACGTACGACCAACCCACAAATTCTTATAGCTTGTCGTGTACGTAACACCAAGGTCCAAGATCCAAGATCCCCGAGCTGGGATCATTCCAAATCTCTCCATTATCACTCCACTGTTTACACGACTGTTCACGAGTAAGTTGTTCTTCATACATTTGCTAGACCTTTGACAAGGTCAGCAATAAATCTAGCAAGGTGGGCGCTCTAAGATCTAAAACAGAACATATTTACATTTATACAAGTTTTTGGCATATTTGCCACTTGCAAAAGGAACACGGCTTAGAACTCTCATGTTCCTGGTTGACGAGGATAAGTATGCGCTGCTACTGAGGAAATGCGGTGTGGAAAATGACCCCGTCAGGGCAAATGCAATCTTTGCCTCGATTCTCTCCAGCAGATGCCGCAGCAGCACTTACCTTCGCAATCTCGCCATTGAAATGTTCGGCAAATGCGGGAGTGTGGCCAACGCGCGCCGGGTTTTCGATGGCATTGACAACCCAAACGAGTTCTCGTGGACGATGATGATCACCGCATATGCCCGGAATGGGCATGTCGATGAAGCGCGGGATTTGCTGGAGAGGATTCCGGAGAGGAATGTGATGGCCGATACCGCGCTGCTAGTCGCATATTCCCAGGCTGGGCATTTGCAGGAGGCCAGGGATCTCTTCGATTCCATGCCATTCCGGAATAGCGTGGCGCGCGATGCGATGCTCCACGCGCTCGCATCCAACGGCCATCTGGGCGAGGCCAAGGGCCTGTTCGATTCCGGAATGCCGTGCCGGAGCATCATCTCGTGGACATCGCTGCTCCAGGGCTACTCGGAGAGCGGGCAATTCGTCCTCGCCAAGGAGCTCTTCGATGCGATGCCCGAGTGGAATATCGTGTCCAGCACCGCGATGTTCCAGGCGCTGGCCAGGAACGGGGAGATCGACGCCGCCAGGGCTCTGTTCGATGCAATGCCGCTCAAGAACATCGTGTCTTGGAATACCCTAATCGGGTGCTACGCTCACAGCGGCCAGATCGATGGCGCCATCGCGGCTTTCGAGGCGATGCCGGAGTGGGATGTGTGCTCCAGCAGTGCCGTGCTCAGCGCCTACTCCGACAGAGGTAATCTCGCCAGGGCAGAAGAAATCTTCGCCAGGATCCCGTGCTTCAACGTCGTGGCGCTCAATGCGATGATCGCAGCGTATGCCCAGAATGGGCATCTGGAGTCAGCCGAGCAGCTCTTCTGGAGGATGCCTGTTTGGGATGTGATCTCTTGCAATGGGATGATCACGGCCTATGGGAGCTTCCGGCGAGTGAGGAAGATGGAGGAGGTCTTTTACGAGATGCAAGAGAGGAACATCGTCAGCTGGAATGGGATGATCGCTGGTTATGCCTTCAATGGGGAACTGGAGAAGGCAAGAGTTTTGTTTGATCTCATGCCGCGGTGGGATGTCTCGTCCTGGAACGCTCTTCTCGCGGCTTTTGCACAGCACTACGATGCTCTCGGCGCCAAGACGGTGTTTGATTCGATGCCTCTACACAGCCTGGTCTCCTGGAACGCGATGCTCACTGGATTCTCTCAAGGATTGTTCCTCAAGGAGACGATGGAGTTCTTTCACCAGATTCCAGAGCCGGATGTGGTCTCCTGGAACGCTCTGGCTGCTGCCTACGCTCACAACGGCCATGTTGGATCATCAAAGCTCATATTCGATCGAACGCCTGCGAAGAACACGGCATCCTGGAACACGATCATCTCGGTGTTTTCAAACTCGGGCAGAGGGAAGTTGGCGCTGGATCTGGAGCTGCAAATGGTGGTGGAAGGGTTCCACCCCGACGACATGACGATGATGAGCACACTGAGTGGTTTCACTCACTCTGGGGTGCTGAGAGACGCGTTGTGCTGCTTTAGCTCCATGGTTGGCGACCATGGAGTGAATCCCGCGAGGGAGCATTACGGTCTGATGATCGACATTTTGGGACGAGCAGGAGAGCTCAACGAGGCGGAAGATCTCATCGGAAGCATGCCGTTCATTCCCGGTACCGGCCAGTGGACAGCTCTGCTGAGTTCTTGCAAGCTCCAGAGTGATCGGGGCCGAGGAACGAAGTTGGTCTCTCATCTCAATCCGCAGAAGGCAGCTCCGTATGTTGTTCTAGCTGGGATCATCAACGCTGGCTAGCTGGAAGAAACGAAAACTCATCACAAACCACTCCGAGGGGAAGAACTTTCTTTACATGCTGCGCTGCCGGATCCACGTCGGTCACAGAGATGAGATTTTCTCAAAGGCTTCTCGAAGAACTGGCTCGAACCTCGAAAGCGAGATAGTAACGTTCTGCTTGTCGAGATAGATCTTCTTCATATCGCTCCACCCGGAAGACGATCCTGGATTCTCTGGAGGACTCACAATCACGGAGTGGTTCTGTCCAAAGCGTTTCAACAGGCTGCTCTCACTGGCTTCGACGATATACTCCATATACTGCATACCAGCTTTCATGGCCGGGTTTCCATAGAACGACCGAGACGGGCTCTTGGTTCCAAGTGGAACGATTTGGAGGAGGAGTGATCCCGGTCGCATAAACAGCAGGTGTGTCATTGCTGCTCCATGGACACCGAGAAGAACGTCGGCCGACTGTATGATCCCGTAAAGATTGGCCATCTCGTGGTTGAATCCGGGTTCCAGAGCCTCGACGTCAAATCCAGCTCTCTCCGCAAGCTGGACCACTTCTTCCTCGTTGGTGACAACCCGAGTTCTTCGCCGAGTGATGAAGACGAGCTTCGGCCTGGTGCTTGGAACTTTGGTCCGACTGTCCGAGGCCGAGAAGGCAGCACTGAGGATGGATTGGAAGTCTCGGATGGACTTTCCATGCGACATCTTTGCGGCATTGATGGCAAGCTCGTCGTGAATGTCCAAACCGACCACGACTTTGGGGAAGCAGTGGACGCGGTGCTGCGCGGGGTTGCTGGAAAAGTCTTGGACGGGGTACTTGGTCATCTGCTTGACAATGCTACCGTACTTCTTCATCCACCACGGCTGAAACTCGGAGACTAAGAACACAACCTCGCCCTCGAATCCGTGCGAGGTGATATAGATGGGGATGAGACCATCGTTAAAGTCGTGGTAGACACTTCCGGTGTAGCCTCCAGTCGAGAAGATCATGGCGGCTTGCGTGTGGTTGACATCACACTGGTGCTGTGGAGTTGAGGAGCTGGATCTTCTCACTTTGATCGTCACCTCGCTAATCTTTTCGAGCAGCTGCTTCTGCCACTTTCTCGGGTATGGCTTGATCTTTTGGACGAGGATCTCCTCGTCGGTGTTGCGAGGACTAAACAGTGTCACCGTGCTGCCGCTGATTCTCAGATCACCAGCGAGGCGACACACTGCTGTGCGATAGTTTGAAAGATCACAGGCAACACCATCCTCCACGGTTTTCTTCGACGTAGCACCGGACTTACCTGTGGATTCGATCCTTTCGCTCGCTCCTGCTCGATCACAAGTAAGCCAAGAATCTCTGTCAAAAGTTCTAGCTCTTACTCGAGAAGGTCTGCGTTGTTCTGTATTCCCGAGGCACAGCGATGAGAAGAACGGCGAGGCTGAGGCACAGAACCGTGAGGAACAGGTTTTGGATTTGGCGCTGGCGTTGTTTGTCCCAATCTTCTTTGCTGCTCCATTTCGCCATCGCTCGGGAGATCGCGCGAGCGCTCAAAGATATACCATTGAGTGAGCTACGTGCGATCACGTTGAATTTCCGAGAAAAAAAAGCTCACGATCGATTTGAGGACCCACTCGAGTTTCACGGGAGAGAGATCTTCTTCGTTTTTGGAGGCGTTCATTGATCGATCGATTGCCGCGAATGGTTTGAATTTGAATTTGAAATTTTGGTATCTTCTCTTTTTTTGTCACTGACTAGGGCTTCCAATTAGGGTTCGTGAGGAAGAAGAAGAAAGAAAATGGCGGTGGATCCGAGCTTCGCCGGAGTCGGATGGGACGATCTCCGCAAGCAGGTGAGCAATGGGCGCTTGATCCGTGAGAATTCTCTCTAAGGGTTTAATGCCAGGCGCGAAGGCTGGAGAATGAGATCGATGCCAAGCTTGCGAGTTTTGGGCGGCCAGATCAGTCGGGGGAGGATTGTGAAGCGGAGATCGAGAGGCTGCTCAAGCAACTCCAGCAAATCAATTCGAGTATGCAGTCTTTGATGTCAGCGATCGGTTCTGACATTGTTTCTCATACCTTGGCACGCCATCTAAACATCTCTCACGAGTTCGTCCAGGTAAGAAAATGTATGAGAAAGAACTTTCTTTTCTCCTTGACATAGTGAGAGCTCTCGCAGGAGTTTAAGAGGAAACGAGCTATTGCCAAAGACAATCGCGAGCACGCCGAATTGCTCCACTCTTTTCGATCGCCATCGGAGAGAAGATTGGAAGTTGATCCCCTTGTGCAAGAGAGGAGCTCCATCCAGAGATCTACTGCTCAGGTTCTTCTAAGATCTAGACAAAGTTACTTCCTTTTTTTCTTACAGTGACTTGGTTCTCAGATAGACTCGGTCGTGAATCAAGCACACGCAGCTCTCAGCGCGCTGTCCACGCAGCGAAGCTTGTTTGGAACGATCGGATTCAAGATCAACAACGTAGGATCGATTCTACCGTCGGTAAGAAGTTCGCAGATCGATCAGTGTGGGGATAAAAAAAAAATCCTTTTTTGATGCGTGCTTTCCAGGTGAACCATGTTCTAGTTGCGATTCGAAGAAAAAAAAACCAGGACACATTGATCTTGTCAGCCGTGATTTCAGTTTGCACTTTCTTGATGTTCCTTTACTGGATTTCCAAGTGAAAGAGAAAGTAATGCCGCTTTTTTACCCTGTTCTTCGTACAGTACCCACGGCGAAGTCAACTACTGCAGCCAATGGCTCCGCGCCACGTGTCTATGATAGCCTTATAATGTTTTTGCGGTTGCAAAATGGAAAGATCGCCGCGGCCGCGTGGCACGGTAACCGCAGGTTCGGGATTCTAGGTCTGGGATCCCAGTCCAGGTTCGGGGACGCCATATCCACACAAGAGGGAAGCTTGTGTGCGCCCAGATAGCGACGCCGCGGCGGCATTCTCGATTTCCCCCCTCCGGTATGTCGCGATTCCTCTCGTGTGCGCGGCCGTCGCAAGAATCGTGTGTGGTTGCAGCGGCGGGCCGGGATTGACCAGGGTTTTGAGGTGCTCATCGCCGTTCGGCCGCATTCGCAGCGGAAGCAAGCATGGAGGGCGATATGTGGGCAGCTCGCTTGCTTTCTAAGCGCCAGTACGCCGTTCATTCGATGCTGGGTAAGCTATAAAGCTCTCTTCTCCTCCTTTTCCACTATCGAATTTTTTCGTGGGTGTTACATTGGTTTTCTGCGCTCGCAATGCAGATCAGCACTTCACTGTGGATGATGTGGAGGGCGATGAGGAACTGAGACCGGATTTTGCTTGTCCATACTGTTTCGAGGGACTGGACTTGCTCTCTCTGTGTTCTCACCTGGAGGACGAGCATTTCTCCGAATCAAGACCTGTGGTAAGAAAATTCTCTTTTTTTTCTTCTTCTTCCTTCGTGGATTTTGATTCTTTGCGTTTCTGTGTCTATAGCTGTGTCCCGTGTGTGCTGCCAAAGTCGGGAAGGACATGATCAGCCATATCACAGTTCATCACGGAAATCTCTTCAAGATATCCTTCGAAAAAGTTGGTTTTCTTATCTTTGTTCCGGTTCCTCGTTTGTATTATCCTTGACGAGAAGCTTACTTTCAGAGGCGTCGCAAGTTTAGGAGGCCGGGAATCACGTCCCATTCCGGATTTCCCTTCAGTGGGAAGGACATGAATCAAGCACACTTGCAGGCTCTCCTGGGAGCGTGCTCTCCGGCAAGGACAGGATCTGGAATTCCGGATCTCTTCTTGTCCACGCTTGTCTGTAACATGCCCATATCCGAGATTGACGATTCTTCCAAGCTGAGCTTGGATAACTCGGACTCGGTTTCTCTTGCTACTTCCACAGCTCCAGCCGAGCTAAGGTATGTCTTTGTATACGAAAGTGATTTCTCGCAGCAGTTGCTGATCAAGTTGCGATTTTTTTGGATCTTAACAGTGCTGAATGCTCCCTCACGGCCGAAGAGAGAGAGCAGAAGCTGGAAGAGGCAAGCGTTCGATCAAAGTTCGTTCGACAGCTCTTCCTCTCCACGCTCTGGGCCGAGGCATGAAGTGAATGGGAGTTGTAGCATCTAGCAAACCGCGGCCTGGCTTTAGAGCTCGAGCTCGAGCTGCGGGAGTGATGGGATGGATGGATCCATCGTTCTTCTACTTCCCATTGGAGTCCTCAAGGATTAATTTATGAGCCGTCCAAGATGGATAGCAAAAACAAAGATGATGTGAGAACGGAAGAACACTTTGTATAAGTCTTATGTGGAACACCATTTGCTTTTGCTGCCGTGAAGAAAGAGATATAAAAGAATGTGTCGTGTGTGTGTCATTGTGTTTATAAATCTATACAACAAGCAAACTTTGGGTGATCGATCATCTGAGCTCGCTGGAATCGTAAATCTCTCTCGAAGCGACCCTGGCAATCACGTTTTTCATGGCAACGTCGAAAGCGTCCTCGAATTTCTCCAGTTTGGATCCCGGCTGCGCGTAGACGATCCCGGGGAGAATCTCGTGGACAATGAAATGCCGCATCTCCTTCCTCCGTGCGAATGGAATCTTCTGGAGCTCGCCCACGATATCCACGTCGGTAACAGAATCTGCCGCGATCATAACAGAATATGCGCTACCATTTGACGGAAGATGCCATGGATACTGGTAGTAGGCCGTGAAGGGGTCGAAAAAAACCGGAATGCAGCCGGCCAGCAGCGAATCAAACACAGATCTCCGGGTCGGGCTGTCGCCAACTGGCTGGAGGCAAAAATCCGAGGCTAAAAACAAACCTAGAGTCGCCTCGGGACCAAAGCAAGCCCTGGAGCCGCAGTCCAAGCTCCGGCACAGGTCCGAGCGAGCCGTACACTGCCGTATCAGCTCCCCACGGATGCTCCCCGCCTGCCCGGGCCTGGGCTGGCCCGCGAAGGCGACGAGGCTCGGCCGGACGTCGTCCCGGAGCACGCGAGCCTGCCACGTCGTGATGTCCGCGTCCGAGCCCGGGTGGAAGAAGGTGGGATGTGGCACGCCCACGTCATTGGGGTGCCAGGGGTGGCGCTCGATGAGAAGCTTGGTGACGTTGGCCATGTCGGCGCGAGCGAGGAGATTACTCCCCCATCTTGCGTCCGATGTCATACGCCTGAAATCCCAGGAGATTTTTCCCAGAGCTATGACATGGTCACGTCGGTCGCCCGTTTTCCACGTGGACGGCTGCTTAGTCAGCCATGTCATGAGCTCGTCGCCCAACACGTCGCGCTGTGCGCTGCTCACGTTGGGCATGAAATTCGATCGCATCACGTCCAGGCCGGCGTAGTAGGGCACGTAGAACACGTCGGCGAGGGATGGATCGAGCACCCGGCAGGAGTAGTCGAGGATCCGGGCGTGGAAGATCATCTCCAGCGCGTACTGGTGCGTCTTGAACCAAGATCCGCGAGGAGTGAGGAAATCGCGAGCGGCGTCGATCGAAACTGGAAGACCCATTCCCGAATTGCGGACGAAATCACACATGCTCATCCATGGCAGCAGAGTTTCGCATTGCTTGAGGAGATCCGCGTTGAATTTGGGTGGAAGATCGTAGACATAGACGTTTCTTCCCTGACAATCCTGTGGAGACTTCTTTACCTGGCCTGATCCTGATCTTCGCAAGAATTGCATAAGTCGCTCCACCTCCTGGATCGCACGCTTCTCCTCTTGACCATCAGCTGTCAAGGAACTTATAGAAGGGGGATTAATGGAAGCGTTTCGAGCTATTGATGGATCGTTGGGCGGTTGTAGCGGCCTCTCCCCTGCTTGGCTGGAATCTTCAAGAGTGCTGTTACGATCGGCTATAGTGGACGATGAATTCCTTTGGAGCTCCTGGAAGAATTCACCAATCTCCTTTTGTTTGTCAATCTCATCTTCACCGCCTTCCAAATCAGCTGATGCCGTCGCAGAAGTAGAAGGAATTTCCAGCTGAAAGACGCGATCTTGATCATCTAGACTTGGCAGCCCTGTTACGCTGTCGCTGGCTACCACGATCTCGCTCTCGGATCGCTGCTTGGGCGGATCCCTCTCGAGGCTGAGCGCGCCCAATTGCCACAATGGATTTTTGACGACATTGACGCCATGACACACGAGACACTCGAAATCGAGAACAGAGGCGCTCGGGATCTGAAGAGAGGCGCTCCAGAAGATGATCGCCAAGAGTGCCAGGAAGGGCGGAAAGAGAAGCGTGCGCATCCGCCGCAAGATCACCATGCCTGCTGCGCTAGAACCCTAATTTCAAGTTCGAGTGAAGGAGGTATATTCCTGTATTGACTTTCCTGCGAGTAACGGCACTTTCTTTTTTATCCGTTAATATAATTTCTTCCCCTGTCAGGCATCGAACACGCAACTCGCCAAGAAAAAGATCATATACGATGATGCCACGTGTCAGCGAATGCTTCATCGGCTCGGAGCTTGCTTCGGTCAAACGGAAGCAATCCTGGCCGTCCAATCCGGTTTGGCGTGTCGTCTTCCTCCTCCGTTAAATCATCAGTGGGCTCTTCGCCGCCGCGGCCGTGCTTTTTCGTTATACTATTTGATATCTCCTCCTTCCTTCCTACCCTTTCTCTCTTTCCAACAAAATCGCGAAAATCTCTTCTTCCAGCTCCATCGCCATCGCCATGGACGCGAGCCAGCTCCCCTTGGAATCGCTCCTCGCCCGCGACGCCAGCAAGCGAAAGAGGGTAAGGATTTGGCAGCGCTCCCACGGTTTCCTCTAAACCCTAATTCATGGTCTCCTTCCTTCTCTTGCGCAGGTGAACAGGAACGCCAAGCTCAAGCAGTTCAAGCTGGATGCCCGGCGCGAGCAATGGCTCTCTCAAGGTAGGCGACACAGACTTTTTCTTCCTTTCTCGCTTGGGTGGATGGATGGAGTGAATGGTTTTTCCCCCTTTTTTTCCTGTGTAGGGAAGCTTGTGGCGAGCTTGTCTCCGAATTCCGTGCTTGAGAGCCCATCGCCCAAGTTGGGTGAGGAGCAACACCTCCACGGATCGAGCACCGGAGGCGACAGTGACGCCGAGTCGTGCGTGATCAACCACGACGATCTGTGCGACGGTGGGCCGCTCGACCTCCTCTCCTGTAATTTTAACTCGAGTGTAAGTAAATCATCCATTTCTTGCTCTAGTCAGAGGGGCGTGGTGTTGGATCCTCCCGACATGAGCAGCAAGGGAGGGAAGAGAAGATCTGGCAGGAAAGGCAAGAGCAAGAGCAAGAACAAAGCTTCCGGGGACTGTGACAAAGTTCTCGGTGGAGAGAAAGGAAAGGATGGGGGAGAGGAGGAGGAGGAGGAGGATTGGGAGGCCGCGGCCGACGCTCTCGACTCCCAGATGAATCTCAACAAGGATCCGGCCGAGAAGGAAAAGGTGGCGATGGTGGTGAACAGGCACAGGGACGACAGGATGATCCACCACCAGGACGCCAGGAACTCTCCGCCAGCCGCCGTCGCAGCTTGGAAGGTTGAGGATACGTTCCGTCCGGCCAGCCTTCCCAGGATCATCGCCCCGAGCTCGCTACCGCCGCTGCTTCCCAGGCCGACTGGAGTGGAGCGACGAGTAGCGTCGCCACCGCCGCGGCCGCCAGCGGCGTGGGTGACGAACAGGCACAGGGATTTCTTCGCGAGATCGGTAGCGGCGGCGGCCGCGAGCGCGGGGCCGGCGTGCTGCCCGATTTGCACGGAGGAGCTGGACAGCACCGATTCCTCGTTTCAGCCTTGCGCGTGTGGCTTCCGGCTGTGCTTGTTTTGCCACCACCGGATCGCGTCGGATGATGGGCGATGCCCGGGGTGCCGCCAGGCGTACAAGACGGACATGGGGGCGATCCTCCGGCCATGCCCGGCAAGATCGTGAAGCTCGCGAGAGATGAAATGGAGGAAGATCGAGCAAGATGGGATTTTTACCCGGTTTGTATATACTTGGAGACCTTGGTCCATATTCATATGAGCTATGGAGCTTCTTAGATTTCTTCTACGTAGTCTATCTTCTAGGTAGCTTTCTTCTACGTAGTCTATCTTCTAGTTAGCTTTCTTCTACGTAGCTATGGAACGATTCTATCTTCTAGCTTTAGCTATGGAAATCGAACGTAAGAGATCTTATTCTTGTTCTTGGGAGGAAGAAGAATCACGAGACAAAATTTCGTTTTGGTGGTGGTGGCGATGGTGGTGGCCTATCCCAGAGAAAGCCAAGCCCATGCCCGATTCCATACCCGATTCCAACGCCGCACCCGGCGCCTACTCCGAAGATGACACGGAGATCGTTCCAGGATCCAGCGCCCAGTCCTAGCGATCCCGTCACGCCCAATCCCAGCCCAACTCCACACCCGATCCCAGCGCCGCCGCCCGGCCCCAGGTTCCTCTCCTCGATCCACTGCAGCGATCTTTGGAGCCAGTTGTTCTTGGAGGATCTCTTGAGCGATCGCTTCCTCTTGGAGCTAAACGAGTCGAGATCGAACTTGGGGAAGCCATCGTCCCATTTGATCGCTGCCGCCATTTGGAGCTAAGATAGAGAGGAAGAAGATCGAGGGTTTGTTAGTTTTTGTGGCCCGGAAGAACAATGGCTATGGCGGGCATGGTTGCTCTTCCCAGAGTGTTCTTGTCACACAGGCACACCGCATTGCCGACCGCTTGCTCGAGCTCCAACGGCAATCCCAGCGCAGGTGAGATGTCGAATTCGAGGCAAAGGTGGGATTTTTAGTGTGTTTTGGTAGCCGCGGGGGCGACGACGATCGCGTCCAAGAGCTTGACGCTTCACGTTGGCGAGACGTCCATCACAATGCCGATGTCGATGGACAAGGCGCGAGCGCTGAGCGGGACGATGGAGGCATTGATCCAGACGTTCCGGGAGAAGCAGCAGGCGCACGAGGAAGGAGGGCGGCCCAAGAGGCTCAAGAGCGTCGAGTTTGCATACAGCGCTGGCGATGGTGGCGATGGTGGCGATGGCGAGGAGGTGGGATTCGAGCTGTTTTGCAATCCCAATGCCTACGCCAACGCGTTCCAGGCCAAGGTGCTGGTGAGCGTGAGCGATGGCAAGCTGAGCTTGAGCGCCGAGGCGGATCTAAGCACCATCAAGGCCGACGTCGATGGATTCCTCGACAGTCTTGGCTAGAGTTTTGGGAGTTTAGGTGGTGTCACTCTCGTACTGTTCACGATAAAGGGAGAGAGAGAGAGACTCAAGCTCTCTCGTAACCCTTTGGTTTTCTTTCTTTCTTTCGTTCTCGAGAGAGAGATCGCCGTCATGGGAGTGGGATTCTTCCTGTGGCTGGTTCTAGCGATGGTGGCGGTGGCGGTGGCGGCGGCCAGGCCACTGGACTTTTTCGCAGCCCACAATCCAATTCGCATGCCCTCGAGCGAGGAAGTTGCGTCCGGGACGAGGTGGGCGCTGCTAGTTGCTGGATCTTCCGGGTTTGGCAACTACAGGCACCAGGTGAGAGGAGTCTTTCCATCGCTTTCTTTCTCTATGTTCTTCGCTTCCTTCTTGTTCTAAGTTCTTCGTTTGCTCTTGTTTGCTTCCAAACTGCTCTTTCCTCCAGGCGGATGTTTGCCATGCATACCAGTTGCTGCGCAGCAATGGTCTCAAGGAGGAAAACATTGTGGTGATGATGTTCGACGACATAGCCAACAACACGGACAATCCTCGCCCGGGAACGATCATCAATCATCCCCAAGGATCCGACGTTTATGCCGGAGTTCCAAAGGTGAAGGAGTTTTGACTTGTTCGCGGATTTCTTGGAAGTTACGTTATTGATTGATTGTTCTGTGGCCAGGATTACACGGGCGCTGCCGTGACCGCCGAGAATTTCCTGGCTGTTCTTCTCGGGGACAAGAATTCCACCAGCGGCGGAACTGGCAAAGTCGTGAGCAGCGGGCCGGAAGATCATGTCTTTCTCTTCTACTCGGATCACGGAGGCCCTGGAGTTCTCGGTGATTCCTTCTTTGTTCTAGACTCGAGAAAGACAAACAACTTAGCTTGTCGTGCTTGACAGGAATGCCCGGAGAGTCGAATCTCTACGCAAATGATCTCATCGACGTCATCAAGAAGAAGCACGCATCCGGAGGCTACAGAGAAATGGTAAAGATCTTTTCATCTTTGTTCTTTCTTTGTTCGTCGTGAGCTAAAGAAGATGCTACTACTCGAGCTGCCAACTTTAGGTGATATATATCGAGGCTTGCGAGAGTGGCAGCATGGTCGAGGGATTGCTTCCACTGGGACTGGGTCTTTACGTTACCACTGCTTCCAACGCGATCGAGAGCAGCTGGGGAACTTACTGCCCTGGAATGGTACCCTCGGCTCCTCCTGAGTATGATACTTGCTTGGGAGATCTCTACAGCGTCGCTTGGATGGAGGACAGGTTCTTCTAAAGTTCTAAGTTTTTTTGACGTTTGAGCTTACGGGATCTCTCTTCCAAACAGCGAAGTTCACAATCTCAAGAGGGAGACGCTACTTCAACAGTATCTAGACGTGAGTTTGCTGAATCGATCGGGATCTCTTGGTTTTTACTTCGATCTTGCAGGTGAAAGATAGAACCTCGAATCACAACACTTACGAGGCCGGATCACACGTAATGCAATACGGCGACGTGGAGCTCAACTCTAACCCGCTTTCCATGTTCTTGGGCTTTGATCCCGCAATCGCGGATGGCAATGGCGACTTGATCATCCCGAGCAGTGCCAATGGTGTTAGCCAGCGTGATGCGGATTTGCTACACCTGTGGAGCAAGGTACGAAGAGAAGAACTTTTCTTTTCTAGATCGATGATCGCATCGTTTCGTCGAGTGTAGTATCGCCGAGCCAAGGATGGAAGTGACTCCAAACGAGAAGCTCGCGAGAGGATGATGAACGCCTTGGCTCACAGACAGCACGTCGACGAGAGCGTGGATCGAGTTGGCGAGCGTCTGTTTGGCTCCAAGGCTGCGGCATCCAAAGTTCTAAGCACCGTCCGGGGCTCCGGCCTCGCGCTCGTGGACGATTGGACGTGCCTGAAATCGCTGGCAAGTGTTCTTCGAGAACTTTGTGTGATCTTTTCGATGATCTTCTCTCTGTGATGTGACTTTTAGGTGCAAGCTTTCGAGACGAGCTGTGGTTTGCTGGGACAGTATGGCATGAAACACATGAGAGCGTTTGCAAATCTTTGCAACGAAGGAGTGGACGTACCTCGCATGGCTGCTGCTAGCGCGGAGGCATGCTCGAGTACCGCCCAAGCCCTGTAGATTGTGTAAAAAGCTTCGCATCGTTGTGCATATGAAAGATCCTGTATATAAGAAACTATATTCAATCGATTACGATGGAGTGTTTGCCACGAGTTGCTCGGCAAACCAGTCCAGCTTCTGTCTGTTACTCTCTTCCAAAACTCTTCGCCCGTTAAACGGGATGTGTTCCGAGCTCTTTTGGTCCAAGAGCCGAGTAGAAATCTCGGTTAGTGTCTTCACGTTGGCCTGGCTTGGATCGTCCATTGCGAGGAGAGCTTTGCCCGGCAAGCCAGACATCTGGAAGCAAAGCAAACAAACTTTAGTCGTTCGTCAAAGCAAACTCTCAACGATAGATAACCCACCTGAATCCTCACGTAATTCTCTCGGTGCCTGCTAAACGCCATGCTGACCGTGTGATCCACCATGTCCGAGATTCCGTCCATGATGATCTTGGCAATGGGTTTGGCCCACTGGAAAGCTCCCCACCGCTCCACTTTGTTGTAGCGGTAAGTTTGATCAAACTGTCCGGTGCCGAGCGATAGAACGAGCATGTCTTCCACCCCTCGGACACCCGGGAAGCGAGCCTTGTCGTGCAAAGCATGCGTGATCGCCGCGGCGGTGGGATTGTTCACCACCAGGCCACCGTCGACTGCCGTGAACTCGTGCTTTCCATCCACGGACGAGACGTGGATGGGCTTGAAGAACGATGGAACCGCCGTGGTAGCCCGGCAAACCTCCCAGAGCTTGAAGTTGGCGGAGATTCGCGAGAAGCAAAAGGCGCTGGCGTTTGTGAGATCGTAGCAGGGAATGACGATGGGCTTGAGCGTGTCATCCAGCGTGAGATCTCTGCCATCGCCACCACCTCGGACCAAGTGCTGCTTGAGGATTCTCTCGAAGAACTTGGTGGAGTACCTGGGTGTCATGATCCCTCGGACCTTTGCAAACACTCGCTGGGGGTATGGGATCTTGAAAATCTCCTTGCCTCTGTCCGAGATGAACGTGCAAACCTCTGCGGCCGTGAAGAGAGGCCGACGTAGTGACTTAGAACCGTGGTTTTGATGATCTCCCGTGGACGATGAGGAGGAGGAGGAGGAGATTTCTTCGCCTTGATCATCGCGGCAGTCGGATGATGCGAAGAGCATCACGGCAATGAGTCCCCCAACGCTGGTTCCAGCCGCCAGATCGAAGAAATCGGCGATGCAAGCGTCTGGATTGTGGCTCTTCTCCTTGAGAGCCGTTTCCAAGTAGGCCAGCATATGGGCTGGGATGATTCCTCTCATTCCACCGCCATCGATGCTCAAGATCCGGAGCTTCCTGTTGCTATCCTGCCCGATCACCGGCTGCTCCACCCCATTTCTCGACCGATCTTCCATCTCGAGCTCGCCGCGACGAAATTTGGGGCGAGCACAGAAAGATGATGGCGAGGGCCGACCGCTCACGAGCTTGTTGCGCGGGATTCATTTGCGTTGCGACGATGAATCTTCCTCACCAGCTTCTAGATGTTGAAAAGAGCGATCCAAGGCCCGCCGTCGCCAAAGACACAGTCGTTGTAGCTGCGACATTGCAAGAACCCTAATTCCTCTCTATAGTCGTTGAAAGTTCTTTCAAATTTAAATTCAAACTGAGACAGAGGATCGATTGGTCACTACTCTAGCTCTCCATGACCCTCTGGCTCGATGCAAACGTCTTGGCGAGCAGGGGCGAGCCGGGAGATTTAGAGGCTAGACAATGGAAATGATCATATGGTGAAACGAAGGTCAAGGAACATCAGGGCGTCCTTGAACTCCGCAAGGAAGCCCTGGTCCAACACTTGGCGCCGGATGGTAACCACCAAGTCCTCGTCCTCCTCCTGCGCAGCAGTCGACCACGGTAGATCCATCCCGGCCACCTTTACCATCGTATACAGAATACCCTCGAGATCCGCTGAAGCGTCAACGCTGTTGCCCAACACCGAGTTCATGGAGCGAAACTCCAGGTCCTTGACAGAGCTGCTTCCCACGCTACCACCATTGTCCGAGGAAATCGCGGCAATCCCAAAGTCGAGAAGGTGGAACCTCTCCAAACCAACTCCTTGCTCGCGGTAAGCAACGTTCCTGGGGCTGATGTTTCTATGGATTATCCCCCGCTTGTGCAGCTCCAGCACCGTCTCCAGCAGGCTAGCTCCCATCTTGGCGGCGTCTCGGATAGGAAGCGTCTTGCTGTGTAGCGATTCACCAACGTAATTCACGAGCACGATCGGGCAGTTTCTCCAGCCAAACGGGTGTAAAGCCGTGCCCGACCACAGAATCTCGGGGATCCTGATCTTGCATCCACTGGCAGCCAGAATCTCCCGAACGCGGATCTCATTCTCAACCTGGCTGAAGAGCTCAATTGGAAGACCAAATCCTTCAGCTGCACACTTGACCGACTGCATGGGGCCTCGCTTGAGCACCACTTGCTGCTTGCTGCCATCCAACCGAACCAAATAGCAGCCCCCGCGGAAGAGGAAGTCCATGTACGTGTGGACGAGCTCTCGCTCCCATATCTCGCCTGAATCAGACCGCACGACATACTTCTCCTTGTATGAGTGGGAAGGCTCCAGCGTCTGTGAATACGACCATAGGTAATAGATCTTTGCCTGTAGACACACCACCCAACGCCACCTTCTTCTTTGCGCAAGCATCTTTCCGGCGCTTCTCCGCCCTGTCCAGAACCTGGCCACACCCCTCAGCAAGCTTGGATTCGTCGTTTATGAACTCCACGTAGATGTCGCACCACTCGTAAGCATTAGTCGATACCACCATGGCCGGATGGACGATGCCAATAGCCAAGTCAAGTAAGGTGCTGTCGCCTGCCGCTGATCTTGCTTAGTCTGTTCCTCTGGAACTGGCAGCACTTTGTGAAGTTGTGTATGTCAACATTTTGCGTGGTACAGTGGCCGACTACCAGTCGTGCTGCATGCTGGTAGACCTTGCCGAGATCATTGCAGGAGTCATCCGGCTCCCGAACGCACTGGCGGATTTGCCAGCGGTTAGGGTGGCGCTCGATGTCGGCCCGTAGGTTCGTGAGGAGCTTTTGGACGTTCCTTGCAAACATTTCAGCAACCGGCCCCACTGAGTATCGCTTCGTGCTCCCAGAGATGGCGTGCTGGACTGTCACAATCCGCCCATCATTCTGATGCGCATTTTCCAAGTCCAAGTACGAGCTTTGCTCACGCGGAAGAATCGACATGAGACCGAAATACACAAGCAAGAAGAGGAACTTACTGATTATTGCTGCCGCCTCCGCCTCACGCTCACGCTCACGCGCCATTGCCGCCTCAAGCACCTCAAACGCCTTGTCAGCGACTGACTTGAACAGTGCCCTCCAACGCTCCCTCGTTGTTCGTCACTTCGATGTGGACTATGTCATCTTCGACGTCCTCTGATGAGGATAGATATTCCCTGATCACACGGATTGTCCTGCGAGACAAAACATTGGCGAGGGAGAGAAGCTTGGGCAGCCATCTTTCGAAGAAGCGCGACCTATCCGCCAGCCTTTTCTAAACCTCAATTTAAAGTTGTTTGCAAGATTTTATAGGGTATTCTATTAGGAAAAGACCTTTCAAATTTAAATTCAAAGCACGAATGGATCGATCGATCGATGGGAGGATGGATATAGATAATCGCGACAGAGAATCGATAGATCACTACTGCTACTGCTACTAGCTAGGTTAGAATGCTCCTCAATGCGAGCCGCAAGCTCTCCATGACCCTCTGGCTCAACGCAAACGTCTTGGCGAGCACCGCGGCCGGGAGCACGGGCACGGACGCGAAGAGCGCGTTGGGCAGCAGCGCCGTGCCCGGATTGGCGCTGTTGAAGCTCGCGATCGCCAGCGCCGGCGTCTCGCCCGTGTTCACCGAGAAGTGGATGAGAGCTCTGGGATAGATGAAGAGGTCGCCAGGCTCCAGCGTCGCCTGGAACAGCCGGTTGTCCGTGGTCACAAACCCCGCCACGACCGTTCCCTGGAGGACGTAGAGCAGCTCCGAGGACCGGGGATGGACGTGGGGAGGAATCACGCCTCCGGGCGCGTACGTGAAGCGCTGGATCGAGAGGCCCTGGGTGTGGAGCCCCGGGAAACTCTGGACGTTCACCTGCGTGACGATGGAACCCAGTCGATTGTTCTCCAGGGCGGTGGGATTCGGGGGCTCTCGCAGGAGATAGGAGACGAAATCGAGCGGAGTGACCTCGGGCTTGCAAGTGAAGCCATTCACTCGCAGCGGGAGCTCGACGTTTGCGACGCAGTAATCCTGCGCTGGATCGGGATCGGCAGCGCGGGATGAGAATATCATCAAGGAAGAAATGAGAATAAGCAGCAGTGACGGCAGCGAGGAGAGATTTCCACGAGCCATTTTCGTGATCACGCTCCGGATCCTCGCAGACTATTTATTTGACTGGACAGTCAAATTTCAATTTCCAGTCAGCGCCATTGACTGCGTTGCTGGTAAACCTTCTCAACTTTGTTAATCTGGGCTAAACGCCATAAGAGATCGTGGCCGTTGGAGCAGTGATTTAATCTCGGCCGTCCCTGGTAGGGCTCTCCTTTACGCTCATTAGTTTAAGTCTGATGCCCTGTTCTTGCGGCGTGGGATGATCGATTGGTGCCTCCTGTTTTGCCTTTTTTGTGACGCGATCTCGCAGCAAAGATGATTTTGATGGCGAGGAGGTATGGGCAGGAGCGAGTTTGGTTTTCTCCCTCGTGGAAGTGCCCTTGTTCTTGCCCAGGAACGGTGATGATTCGACAGAAAATCAGCGCAATCCAAGTCTTGTTGTGAGTTTGATGATCGTGGTCTTCGCATCAAGCGATGGCTGATACGTTGACATCACTGAGAGCTTGCGACGATTTGGCTGAGAAAAGGCGAATCTGAGTTCTTCCCTCTTTGATTTAGCTAGGGCAGGCGATCTCCTAGAACTTTCTCAAGTGTTCTTCGTGCTTTGCGTCTCGCCTAGAGTTTACTTCACAGATTCTTCCTCTCTCCTTACCGAAATGCTTACGTATTTTCTTCCATTGGTGAGGTCAAGGGGCCTGTAACATTTTCATGCATCTCTGGGTCGCTTTTCTTTCTTTTTTTTTCACTAATTCTACAACCATAGATCGTTTTGGACGAAGCGGGCGAACTTTTTAATGGTGTAGTAAATAAGCACCACACCATGAGGTGATTTTTTTGAACTCCACTCGCGACGGCAAACATACAAATGTTTAACCAGGTTATTTACACATGTCTACAAACAACCAACCTTCAGCGTGTAATAAGATCCAGAAAATAAAACTAAAGAGCCTGTGCTCATTCATCTTATGTCCATCTTATCTTACATTTTGATTTAAAATCTAGTCTCAAGAGATCTTTTGTTAGTCGAGAAACGAAAGAAAACGAAATTGAAGACGTATAGCTTAGCCTCTTCGGAGGAGCTTCCATTCGATGTTGTATCGGTAGAACGTGAGTTCTAGGCACACTGCTGTGGTGCACTGGAGATCAAGTTTGTCATGGACGACCATGGCCAGAAGAAACTTTTATATTAGTCAAATAAAAGATCTTCTTGCGCCCTTTTGAAAAAGTTTACAGCGATGGAAGCCGGCGACATTCCAGAATTTGGAGCTGTATATACTGTGACAGCCACTGCACAAATAATATCGTCAAGAGAAATATAGATGCAAAGCACTCCTTACCAGAGTAGTGACTTCCTTTCCTTTCGCAGTTTGCTCTTTCCGACAAGGCTAAACATCATCTCTGCACATATCTTCTGACTCCTCTCCTCTAACCGCCTCATCCCTGGAGCGGATTTCAGAGACATGTCAACCAGGGGTTTCACTTGGTCCCTGGATGAGAATGCCTGCAAGCCTGCGAAAAAAACCAATGTGACTGTCAACAAAACAACACAAAACGCACCTTTAATAGCCACGATGTGTTGGAGATCGTCATCAACCCGAGTAAAATATCGTTTCCATGCCTCGACATTCCGTAAGGAACGTCTTTTGCTCCTGGACAACATTCCTTTCTCCTTTCCCCATAGCTCAACACCTTCGCAATTTGGGTGTGTTTCCTGGAGTGCCACTTCCATCGAAACATTTGCAGGCATCTTCTTCATTAATGCCGCTTTAACGAGTTTCCCAGTTTTGAAACTGACGCTTTGTCGTTCTGAGTTTCCAAGTTCGTCACTGGAACTGTCAGCAACATTCACGAGCAAGCTCACGTATGGTACCTCGAGTAGAGCCACCATCCCAGAAAACTCCGGGCTACATTTAGCATATGCCAAATCCAAGTCGCCTAGCGTCTTCGTCCTCTTCACTTTCACCAGAATGGCGGTCATCGTCTCCAAGCTGAACGTACCACCGAAAAAGCCTACGATGATAATGTCTATGCCTCCACTGCAAATAATGCCAACACCCGCCTTTCCAAATGCAAGCAGATTCTCTGCTGTGAGCTCCTTCAGTGGAATGTCAGTTTTCCTGAACTGCAAGCAAAGAAACTTGGCGTCACCAACATTTTTAAGGCCCTTCTCCTCGTCTTCCACTCCCAGCTCTGCTCTTCTGAGATCCGACAGCGACGTGCCGCAAAGGCCACGGCATAGCTCGTCAAAAGTGAAGCACCTCCATGCATCTTTCTGCAGACTGTCCACTGCGAGTAATAGCAGCACTCGTGCAACAAGCTCGCCCCGGTAACCTCGATCAACCCAGCCACGCATCAGCCCGTCCTCAAGTTTTTCGAGACAGTATTGCCACCCTGTCCGCTTTCGCCCCGCACGCAAAGCCATTGCTGCAGCCGCTGCAACCACTGGCTCGACGGCCCAATCCGTCCAAACATGCTCCCGGTCGTCAGAGATAGACACCACGCTAAGCAGGTGCCTCGCAACCAAGCCGGCGACAACTCTGGCCTGAGGGTTGATGTCGAGGCACACCCTGCAGCCAAGTATGGCCAAAGGAGCCTCTTCCAACATAAAACCTTGGTCCACAAATTTGCTGAGCGAATTCGCGCCGCCAAGGAGCTTGTTGACAGCCAGAGTTAATACCTCCTGAGGATCTCCGTTAGCCTTTAACAGTGCTTGCCAGAGCGGCCGACCATAAGCGACCAGACGACCAAGATTTTCCACTTTGGCAAGCGGAAGGCTACCTGTTCCTGTGTCTGATGGGGAGTGTGCCGGGAAAAAGCAGTACGCTGGATGTGATACTGCCATTCCATGTGCAGCTACTCGGTCGCTGCTGTGCGGCCTACATGGAGGTGCAACATTGCTCCCAGCAAAATCGTTGGTGTCTGTATATAAGGCAACGACCTCTCCAGTCCCTGGAAACAGCCTGGCAGCCCTTCTTGCAGGATCAAATGCAGCAAAAGCTCGATGATCATCACACCTGCCAAACCATCCAGCTTCATCCATGACAAACAAAACCTTGAGTTTTCCTTTGGGAGGATCCGGTAACTGCTTCAGTTTGTCGGTATTCCGCATTCGCCGATGTACCCGATCTTCCCATGCGCCCCAGACATTGGTCGCTCTACTAGGCTCCTCCAGCAGTACCTTTTCAAGTGCAGGATAGCGGCGTTCCCACTGTTTTTGTCGACTCTCAATCTTGGCCTGCACTAGACGCCAGAATTCCTCTCCAAGCATTAGTTCCTGCAGGAAGTCCTCTGCCGCCAACTGCTTGTCCACGGCGACATCGATGCACGACGAGAAGTAGTGCATGCAGAAGAGCATAAACCTGCTCTCTGACACAAGCCGAGAACCCGAGCTGAGCAACCTGACGGCGCTTGTGTAGAAGAAGTCCGCAATGGCAGACCTTGGCGGGTAAGTAGTGGTGGCAGATGCAAAGGAGCAGTAAACCACGAACACACCTCGACTTGCAAGCTCGCAGATAGTCCTCGACTTTCCCCAGCCACTCGACTGCACTAGAGTAACGACAGGTGCTATCCGATTCTTTGCAACCCAGGATGTTCCTGTTTCTTCAATCTTCTGACGCAAGAGATCAACGTTGTCTACTCCCCCCACAGTCTGATACTCCCCTTGAAATGCTCTCTCAACGATTCCCGGATCATCTTCAGTCTCTTCAGAAGTCTCTGGCGTTGGCGTTGGTTTTGGATCTGTTAAATTTTGTTTGTATCGTGAGAACTATCTTGAAGTTGGGAATGAAAAACAAACCGTACCTTCGAGCATCTTCTTGGCCAAGTCCATAATCTTGCCAGGAGATTTCTCGTGGACCATTTGGATTACTATAGATTGCAACCTTTTCTTTTCTCTTGCGGCCGCTGATTCTTCAGCCGCTTTCCGCTTTCTCCGCCCTGAAGATGCGGCGGCTTTCTCCTGAGGAACAAGGCGCTGCTCATCGCCGGGCGGTCTGGATCTCCGGAGCTGCAGGCCTGACGCTTTTCCAGATCCATGGCGCGGCGGACCCATTAATCCCTATTCCAGTCTTGCATTATCCCTGGCCCTATGGAATTATATAGGGTGTGGACTTCACAGGATTTCGTCTCCCAGATGATTCAGCTGGATCACATCGGATTCCCTGCCAAACTTGGTCGCGACCTGGACTCTCTTTCGCCTCAAGGTGCTAATCGCCTGCAACATAAAAGAGAGCGCAGAGACGAGAGTGAGTAGCACTGACATAATATATATATATATATATATATATGAGGATTTCATCTTGTGTGTGGACATTGGATAACAGTGTTCAAAAAGAAGTGATCCCCAAATCGTTGACAGCCTTGTGGACACTCGGGCTTAGAACGCTCAGCTCCCATTTTCTTCCTTCAAAAAACCGTGCTGTACCAACACTTAGCTCAAGTGTTACCCTTAACAGCCTATATTACCACGTCAAAACCGGACAACTAATCAAGCTGCGACTGCCGTCACTTTCTGCAACAAAAGAAAGAGTTGAAAAGGCATTTAGATGACAGAGGTGTTTCTTTTCAGCTTCAGGCACTAGATCCTTTGGTCCGATCACCAGAGCGTAAGGCAGCCTGAAGAAAGTTTCTCAGCAAGGTGGACGACAGTAAAAAGAACACACAACCTCATTGAATCGCTTGCTTAGCCCATCAAAATGTGAGCGCCTGCACTGGAATCAACTTAAGCTCAAAGTGCTTTGAAAAAACGCTATGTGATTTACCTTTGGACAAATTGAACGACTTCGTATGTGGATTCCGGTATTAGTAACACAAACTAAAACACAAATCTAAAGCTGCCACGCACCTGCCTTCGATGATGTCTTCCTCGGAAACTGGCACTGTCTCTTGAAGTAAAGAACTACTTTTGTATCTGTTAACACACTTTAATAAAAGCTATTTTGATAAATATAATTTGTCATATGATATCTTCCAAATTCCCCGGTGTTCTGGCGGATGAAACTCGCTAACACAACTAAATAGAAAAGTGACCCGCCTGTGCATAGCTTCATTGAGATCTTGAGGATGATTAGTTGCAAGCATAGCGATGCCTTTGTACCTGTCCACATTTGGCATACATATTGAGCAGAATTTTCACCACCATATTTGATACGAGGCAGTGGGGCTGCAAATGGATCCACTTGCCTCTCTTGAGCAATTCGACCCTGACAATACTTTCATGGATCAATCTCCCCGCCTTGCACATCACTAGCCCTGTTATGGCGCTCATGGCTGCCATGAAGCTCAGCATATTGGGCTGCTCAATCCGCCCCAAAACTTGCCGCAGACCTCCTCCTGCCATAGCACATTGCCAGCACCATCCAGGGAACTCACATTGCACTGGCACATGGAATCTAAAAGCATGCCCAAGAGACAAAGAATCTTTATGAAGCAAAGCTAAAGTATCTAGGAGGTGCTTATGAGGTAGTAAATTCTTTACCACCTTCAATTAGAGGACAACAAAGAAGCTCGAGATGGCATATGCTTGTGGGGCTTGCGTGATATAGGAGCTCAAGAAAATGGATTCAAGAATCCAGGAGGTGGAGATGATGGTGGAAGACACCAACAAACTTGGAGATGAGATGCTGAAAGAAGAGATGGCCATTCATGAAGAAAACATGGCTATGGAAATGGCCAAGATGGCTAAAGAATGGTAGGAGGCAGTGTTTCCTAGAGATGAAAATGCATGAAAAAGGTTATTCATGGCAAAATTCATGACATCAAGCATCAGGAAGGCAAACAAGGAATTACAAGTGTTTATGGAGTAAAAGCTTGGTAGAACATGGCTAAATTTGCCTTTCAAAGTCAAAAGTCTTGTGGGGATCAGGAGCTGCCAGTGACAGGATGTGGTAAGATATGACTAGGGCAAGGCTGAAGCCTCCATATTCCTGGGTCCTTCTTCCAACAAGATTCTCTGTGAAAGGACTTACTCTTCTAGGTAGACCATATGGAACTAAGGTGAGTCCATTACAGGGATCACAAGGTGGGGTAGGAATCAAGAAACCTTGTTAAGAGGAGGTTCATGCAAAAGGAGTAAGCAACAAGGGTAATGAGGTCAAGGAGACTTGAGATTCTCTAGACCAAGGCTTCTTAGTGGCATCATTAACAGAGGAGGAAGTCCTGGCAGCTGAAAAATAGCCAAAAGATGTTGAGGAAGTTGTGATAGCAAGAAATATCGAAAACAAGGTCAAAGAAATGCAGGCATAATAAGGATGCAAAATCTGGATGGAAACAGTTGAGTGTGGTTTGATCCACATAGTAAACATGGACAGTAAGGGTTGAAGAAATGCAGTCATAATAAGGATGCAAAATCTTGGATGGAAATAGTTAAGTGTGGTTTGATGATGACAGGGGTCGAAGAAATGCAGGCATAATAAAGATGCAAAATCTTGGATGGAAATAGTTAAATGTGGTTTGATTCACATAGCAGATGAGTATCTTAAGTGGTGAGATTTAAGGAATCTTTGGGATTTCAGTGGGAGGATCAGGAGCGAAGCAATATAGGGAACTTGGATGGGTTTATGATGATCACTAGCAAAGCAATAAAGGTGGCAGAAGTTCAAGACAACAATCCAAGATTCTGGGAGATGGATGCATTATAAACATCATAAAAATCTTAGCCTCATCTGGAGTGATGGAGGTTAGGTTAAGGACAACTATAACCCTTTGGTCCATATTTTTTAGAAAGAAGAAAGCGTTTTTTGAGAAGAATCTCTTTATAATTTGCAAATGGCTACAGATTAGTGGTGTTCCCAAGCTTGTAGTAGAACTGAGTGTTTGGAGAGGATTCTGAGCTCATCCCATCTTTCTAGAGTTGCAAGGAGGGAATTATAGAGCTATTTGTGATTGGCTGTGGAAACATAGTGATTCTAAGCATTTTGGAAGTCCTAAAAGAGTTCTCTAGTGAGTTAGAGTGGCAAGAGCAAGTTCTTGTGAGAGAAAAAGTTCATCACCTTCTTAGGCAAGTTGGGTTTGAGAATCTTGGTATGCATTGCAAACAGTTGCAGACTAGTGGTGTTCCCAAGCGCATATGAGAATAAAGTAGTGCATGGGAAAGAGATAGAAGTCATTCCTATCACAGCTAAGAAGATAGGAGTATGGAAGGATTCAATGAAGGATCTGTGCATAGCATCTTCTTAGTGCTGTGAGTTGGTGGGTGGCAATCCTGCTGCAAGAAGTCCTCTAGAGCTGCAATTGACAGGTTGGATGAGCTCAAGAGCAGCCAAGGCAAGAGAAAGAAGAGAAGAGAGATCATGCATGCAATGGGAAAGTGGTGCCGCTACCTTGTTCTAGGACATTCCATATTGAGGATTTACCACTTAGTTTCTTTTAAAGCAGCAAAATCTTAATAAGAAGCAATACTGACGGATTAAGTAGCTATAGGCCCTTGATTTTATAATCGAGTACAAGCTGGGAAAAATGAACATGCTCTCTGATGCATTGTCCCATAAGTTTGAGAAGCCAAATGACTCAGTGGTGCAAGGCTTGTCCATTCTAGAACCAAGTTAGCAGATCATACAAGGCTACCTTTCAAATGCTTTCCCAACTGTTTTCCATAGCATTATAGAGAATTGTATGTTCTCTAGTACCCTTTGAATGCTTTCCCAACTATTTCTATAGCATCATAAAGATTTCATATATGTGCTCCATAATTTATTTTCTATAGTTTCATCCATACCAGCTAGTGGTGTTCCCGAGCACGTATGAGAGTAAAGTAGTGCATGGGAAAGAGATAGAAGTCATTCCTATCACAGCTAAGAAGATAGAAGTATGGAAGGACTCAATGAAGGATTTGTGCATAGCATCTTCTTGGTGCTGTGAGTTGGTGGGTGGCAATCCTGCTGCAAGAAGTCCTCTAGAGCTGCAATTGACAGGTTGGATGAGCTCAAGAGCAACCAAGGCAAGAGAAAGAAGAGAAGAGAGGTCATGCATGCAGTGGGAAAGTGGTGCCGCTACCTTGTTCTAGCACATTTCACATTGAGGATTTACCACTTAGTTTCTTTTAAAGCAGCAAAATCTTAACAAGAAGCAATACTGATGGATTGAGTAGCTATAGGCCCTTGATTTTATGATTGAGTATGAGCTGGGAAAAATAAACATGCTCTGCTCTACTACCCTTTGAATGCTTTCCAAACTATTTCTGTAGCATCATAGAGAATTCATATTTGTGCTCCCTAATTTATTTTCTACAGTTTTATCCATACTAGCTCCTTACCCTCCAGCTGGTCCTTTAGCCAAGCCCCCCCTCCTCACTCTAAATGCTTTATCTCTAGCCAAATTGCCCTCTCTTCTGCACTTGCCCTTAGCTTGAGCCTAAGAAGATATGCTAAAGATATTCGAGTACATTCTTACATGTTTGCAGCATGGCCAACGATTTATTGTTTTTAAATGTAAAATTTATATATAAAGACGTAATATGAAACTTTATATAATTTATTACTTACAAATTAAATAATTTACTTCATGTTGCAGTAGCAATGCTTATAGTAGTATTCTTATTTAGTATTTATTAATCCAATTGATCAGTAATTATAAGCATATTTATAATTTATAAACACAAAATTAATCTTATTGCATATCAACCATTAGACTATAAATTTTTAGTAAAGTTGATAAATGATAAATATGTTTATAAATATAAATACGAATAAAAATCATTAAATATTAAAATATTCTAGAATATTTAAGCATCTTCTAGGTATATCCACTATCTTAAGCAGACCAAAAATTAATTAAATAAGTCTCTAAAGCCTTCATTCATACACATGGGCCATACTTAGGCCAATTAGGCCCTTTTTGCAAGTTAAGGGTGAAATTTAAGGAGCTTTTGCTTCACATAGACCTTTAAGTATCAATAATTACCATTTAATTTATGTATCTTTTTATGTATATTTATATATTTATGTACTTACCATTATATTTATGTAACTTTCCATTAGGGCTGGAATGAGTCAGGAGAGCTGCTTGATCATGAGAGCTTGATCACCAGATCTAATGCTAGTTTTGCCATGCTCTCTACTTATGTGATTCCTAGTGTTAATCATGATTCTCACACTCACTTTTTGTATTGCAATTCGGGAGCATCAGGCCATATGAGGATGAAGCATAGCACGTGCAACCTCATTTCCAATCTAGGTATTCCTAGAATGCATTTTCATCAAGTTGAGAAACTATAGGTGAGTGATGAGGGATCA